CCCCTGTTGTGTGGCCATTGTGATGGCCTGGGAACTGCTGCCTCCTGAGCCAGACAGGGATGTGCCTCTGCCCATAAGAGCCCTAGCCTGGGGGCTAGGGGTCCGGAGTCTCCCAGGCTGTTTGGTCACCCTCCAGGACATGTACATATGCATGTACAGCCATTTAGATAAGGGGTCTTGGAGAAGCATGGACTCCAGCCCTCCAGACACCTTGCCCATGCCCAGGGCCACTGCTTAGAAAGAGGCATGGCTTCTTTGCAGCTCCATGAGTAGGGCATGGGCTGGATTGCAGGTGGGCACAGTGGCCCTGAGACAGCCCCAGCCCCTCTCCATTTCTCTTGAGGCTTTCTTCAGCCTCTTCTACTCCTTCAGCAACTTCCTCCCCCAGCCATCATCTACCAACCTTCTGCTCAGATTGCAAGGCTTGTTCTCGGCCTCTGGTCAACAGCTAACACAAACCACAGGCCAATCCTTGCTGGTAGAATTGGGCAGCCATCGCCGACAATTTCAAATCCTAGCTGCAGGGCCTTGCATTTCCTCCTAAAGACTCAGGTGTGGATCCCTGTCAGCCCCACCCCACCCAGTTAGGCGTTGCCTGGCCATGCTCACTGTCCCCCAATTCCATGCCAAAGACCAGCTCTTTGCAGCCCTCCTACTCAGTACAGCTGCTCTCAGTGCCCCAAACAAAGATGACCACGTATTTTATCACCTAACCAGAGAGTTGAGGGGTGGGAGAGCCATGTTAATCATGTCTTCTGGGACATAGTAGGACTGTTGGAGGGAAATGGGCATGTCACTCTGGTGGGGATGCATGAGGCAGGCACACGCCTGGTGTGGTCACAGCACAGCACTTATGTGCATGTGTGTGTCCACATGTACATGAGGACTAATGGTGGCCATGGCATGCTGCCAGTCCTCACATGTGGGCTGTCTAGGTGAGGGGATATGTGTGTCCTGTGCACACACGCCCAAAGCCCTGAGATGGCTCCTTCCCCTGACACAGCTGGAAGCTCTGGAAAGAGGAGGTGGGTTGGGCTTGCCTCATACTTGTTCTGCAAAGAGTCAGGCCAAGATGGGAGGGTGAGGCCAGGACTTACTTTGGACTAGGGCAAAGTCTGGGGTTGAGGGGTGGCCTGACTCACACTTGCTGCCCAGCAGAGGGCCACAACCTTGGATGGAAGTCATTCCTCATCAGGAAGGTTCTACCCCGAAGAAGTAGGGCTTCTGGAGCTGAGCTGTCTTTTCTTGGTGTTCTTAACTCTTCACCACCTCTTCCTCCAGGAAGCATGCCCTCACCTCCGTTGTTGCCCCAGCTGCCTCCATCCCTAGAGCAGGTGGAGCCTCTGTCTCCTGCTCCCTATCCCTGAGTACTGTACTTCAGGGCCAGAATGAGACTCAGTTCTTCACTGAGAAGAGGCAGAGGGGAATGGGTCCCCTTGGCATTTGGTTAGGCTGAGTCACTTCTTCCCCGAGACCCCAGGGCCCAGTGGACAATTCTCCAAAGAGTAGACTCAGGGGTCCTACGATGGATAGAATTTGCTTAGGGGCACACACCTAGCCCTGGTAGGATGGGGTTGGACTCCCCATGGGTCTCCTTCCCTGTCAGGGTGCCTTTAACAGCGGTTGCTTCGAAACCCTCTGAAGCCTTCTCACTGGGCGTCTGGGCCCCTCTGGGCTTGGCTCAGAATAGAGTAGGGCTTTAGGTATGTCCTCTTAGGCCCAGGCCTAAAGACCCCTCCAGGCACAAGGCGAGAGGATGGGCTCTTCATTAGAGGCCGGCTGGTACAGGGCAGACCACTGGGAAGTTCACAATGGAGACTCCTCGGGGTCACCCTGGACAGCTCTGAGAACCACCAAACCCTTCCTTTGGTTGCAAATATCACTGAGATGCTGGGCCCTGTGTGGGACATTGGAGAGAGAATGTGAGCAACATAGACTCAGCCTTGCCCCTAGAATTCACAGTATTGCAGAGAGAGGCCAGCGGAGCCTGTGCAAGCAAACATAGAACTTTCTGTGGGGGTCAGTGGGATAAAATAAAAGGGCAGGAACATAAACTAAAGAGGCTAATGGCCCAGAAGGGAATGGACAAGCATATGTGAGGACCAAGGCATGGGAGGTGTCATGAGGCCTGGGGGATGTCATTCTGTTTAGGAAACAGCAGCTGCAAAGGCACTGGGGTCAATAAGGCTCCTGGCTCGCTTACTCACTCACGCACTCTGGCACTCAATAAGCCAGAACCAACAAGGACTGGTTAGACTACTGAGGGAACTCAGGGGGCTCCTAGGTCTGGGCTAAGGGAGATGTCCTTCCTAGAAGGGCTAAAACTTCAGAAGAGAGGAGAGACAATGACTTCCTGGAGGGAGACCAGTCCATGGGAAGGTAGATGGTGGGGAGAGGCAGGTACAGGAGACCCTGTCCACTACTAGCCCCTACTGTAACCAGGCCAGACCAGAGAGCTGAAACCTGAGCTGGGGTTCAGGGGTCTGGGGAACAGCCCCTGGTGTCCATGGAGGGCCCTGGGACAGGCTCTTGCTTCTCCCAGGTTCTGGGAGACTGTCTGCATCCATCAAGTTAGTTTCTAAGGCAGGCGCAAAAAACTACCAAAAACTAGGCTTATAACAAAAGGTATTTATTGTCTCATGGTGTCTGCAGGGCTGACCCCTCCTGAGGTGGCTGGGGGCATCTGCTTCACCCCTGTCTTTGCCCCAGTCCCTGAACAGCCTTCCCTCAAAGTGTCTGTGTCCTTATCTTCAGATCCTTAAATTAATTTCATCTGCAAAGACACTTTCTCCAAAGGAGGTCCCCTTCCTGGGTTCCGGGATTTAGGACTTGGACATATCCTTTTGGGAGGGCCACTATTCAATCCACTATGCCCCAACAACCAGGGACTCAGAGGGTGGGTCTTCTCTCACTGCTAAGCCAGTTGCTCTTCATCAAGGCAGGCTTGGGCCGCAGGGCCCCCTGGGCATGTGTGAGTTGGGGAGCAGCCAACCTGGCTTGATGGTGCAGGCGGGGGTATCAACTCAGAGAATGGACAGCACCAGGCCTGACCACCAAGTGTGCAGCTAAAGGGACAGAGAAAAAAGCACCCTGCTCCTCTGCCCCTGGCTGGTTCAGGGAGCCCCAGGTACCTGCCTGACACAAGAGACAGAGGGGCACAGATGGACACGCCAGCCTCCTGCAGGCTCTAGGCCTGTCTACTCCTAGGCAGGAAGTTTCTCTTTCAGCCTTCAGGTCTGGGCATGAGCCCCAGGCAAGTGGCCACCAGGCCCTGGGCCAGAGAGTGTGGCTGGACTCCCAGCACTTTCCCTGAGATTACTCCGCAGGCTGGAAGGCGCCTTCTGCCCTCTAACCACCTGCACCAGGCACATGGTCCATTGATCTTTCGAAGTGCCCTTTACAAGATGTGGAAACCAAGATTCAACTGTCACCCAGCCAGGAGGTGGTGCAGCCAGAATTTGAAGCTGGGGCCATCTGCGGAGGGCTTCCTCAGCCTGAGCAGTGGCCCAGCAGCACCAGAGCTGGGAGCTTTACTGCTCAGGGTCTCAGCTTCACTATCAGTGAAATGGGCTGGTGGTCCCACATGCCTGTCTTGCTCTTTCAGGCCAACCATAGCAGGGACAGTGTCCCTAGTCACAGATACAGAAACTGAGGCCAAAAGGCATAGGGCCTGGTCTCCCTTGCCCAGCAGATGGGTCGGGGCAGACCCAGGCCCCAGCTGGCCTAACACATGCTGACCTGCTTCCTCCTGGGGCCTCTGGGGGAGGCGGTGGGAACAAGCTTGGCCTTTGCCTCTCAGCCCCCAGGCAGCCGCCCCCTGGGAGGCCTGGTCAGCGGGCTCAGGTGTCCCACAAAGCCGGTTCCTCTGCCTCTTTTTGTCCTCCCCAGGGGCTACATGCAGCTCTGGCCCTGCCAGTGAGCAGGCAAGTGGGTGGGCTGGGCTGGCCCCAATGTGTCTCCCACAGCCCCTAGGAGGCTAGGTTGCCCAGGTATGTCTACAGGGACCTCCCCCAGGCCTCTTCCCATGACCCCGGCGTCCCTGCCTGAGGCTTTCTCAGCAGACCCCAGCCCACTCTGGCGGAGGGTGCGGGGCTCACCTTGGACTCAGGCAAGGCTGGTGGGCTCCTTAGCTGGGCAGTCTCTCTTAGGTAAGGTTGGGATAATGACCCCATTTTACAGGTCCTGAAAGGGATACTCCTAGTGGAGGAGGCCCCACAGAATGAGAACTGTCCCAGCACACTCCCCTACCCACTCCTCCCCATCCACTGCATCAGACCTGATCTGAGTTCCATAGTGGGACCCCAGTAGATACTGAGGCTAAGAGGGGCTTGGTGCTTTGCTCAAGGGCATTCTGCTGGCTTATCTGCCTCTTGAATCCACACTACTGGGATTTAAATCTTGGCCCTGTTAATTATTTGCTGGGTGACAATAGGTGAGTCACAGGACCTCCCTGTGCCTCAGTTTCTTCAACTGTAGAATGGAAATAATTAGAAGGCCTGCTTCAAACAGTGCTGTGATGATGACATAGCTCATGCACATCAGGCCTGGTATACTGTGAGGGTGCAATAACAGCCGTTACTATTATTAGTGCTATTGTCATCATTATCCTGCTGCGCCAGAAACTTCAAAGCACCTGGACCTTGTCTGTCTTATTCACGGCCAAATCCCTGGCCCAGGCACACGGTTTCTGCTCAGGGACTAGTTTTAAAACATGATCAGGAACTTGCACCTAGGAGACCATAGCCTCTCCCCACTCTGCCTCACAGGAGAACCTCTGCCAATCCTGGGGTTCTCACACGGCCATGCCCTAAGGGGACCACTTTCATCTACATCTCCTCAAGTCAGGAAACCAAGCCTCAGAGCAGACAAATTCTCTGAACAAAAGCCACCGCAATTTAGTTGGTGCCAAGGAGCTGGTGGGTGGGCTGGGCTGAGGGCTAAGTCTGGGAGTTGGGGGGATGGAGGAAGACAGAGCTGGGGGGGACCAGGCCCCTGCGGACATGACGCTGGCCCACTCCCAGGTGGGTGGTGTGCTCCAACTTGCTCTGGGCTAAGGGTGCCCACACAAAGGCAGATCCGAGTGCCCCCAGGAGACTGTGCCAGACCCCCACCACAGCAGGAGGGGTGGCTGGGAGCAAGACTGCTGTCACGGCCCACCTCTACCCCCAGCCAGCACCTGGGGAAGGGAGGCCCTGAAAGCTGGTGTTTGGTCTTTGGAAGCAGCTGCCAGGGCAGTATGCTTCCTACCCCCACCCAGGCCCTGGCGACTCTCACAGCATCCATTAGGACATTCATTCATTCTGCAGATAGCCATACATTCTTGCTGTGTGGCCTTGGGCAAATCTCTTGTCCTCTCTGGGCTGTGACATCTCCCATTTGTCAAAGGAGCTAGACCCTCAACCCTCATGATGAGTCTGCTGAGGGTCTCTGGGAAGGGGTGGATGGACAGGAAGTATAGGGTCAGGGCAGCCACAGGCCCCAGCAGTGCAGCCAATGGCAGCTGTGGGCTGGATATTCCCTGGTCTCCCTGGAGAGTTCTGGAATTTCACTCTTGCCCACGCTGAATGCAGGAAGAAGCTCCTTGCCTGTCCTCATCCCCTCTTCCTTCTTTCAGGGCTCCTAACAATCCCTCCCTACAGGGTCTGGGGGTGGGGAGAAGGTAGCTGTATCTCCTGAGAAACCCAGTGGTGCAGCATCTTCCTCAGTCTGTGTCACAGATGAGGACACTGAGGCTGGCTGGGGCTTCTCCAGCAAAGCCTCCACAGCACCCCCTCATCAGCCCCTCTCACTCCCTCCCAGCTGAGCTCCAAGCTCCTCCTACCTCCCCACCCCAGGCAGGTCTCAGAGCAGGTTCTGAGCCCTGGGGTGGTGTTTCCTTTAGGGCAGACTGAAGCTGAGAGGTAGGAGAGGAAATGTCAGTGAAAGATGGAGCTAGGGCTCTCTCCCCTTTGCCTGGGGGAGGCCACAGGGTCAGTCAGGCTCTGTCTCCCCTACGAGGCCCCAGCCATACACTCTTAAGACTCAGTCTTCTCAGCTGTCCAACAGGTCCATTTCTTATCCCTTCTGTCTCGCAAAAGAGCAACGGCAGCTGTGGGTAAGTATCTGTAGGACTATGAGGGTAGTGTCATATCAGTCCAGACTTGGGATCTTACCTACTCTTGATTGCTTTTGTCCTTGGGCCACAATCCCCACCACTCCAAGTTGAGAGCCCCCTGTTCTTTAAGGGAGACTTCCCACACCTGCCAAAGGCCAGCCAAGTCCTAAGAGCTAAAGTCCCTACCCCTGTAGATCAGGCATTCTGGAAGGACAGGCAGCAAGCAATCCTCTTAGAATATTAGGAGGGATAGAGCCTTGGAGTCGGAGGGTGGAACCTATAGCCTCTGGGAAAAGGTGACATTCTGGGAATACTGGCAGGCAGTGTGGAGGAGCTTCAAGGGCAGCTGGGAAGAGGGCTCCAAACCAGAGGCTTGCGGCAGGAGTGCCAGGCAGAGGAAGGTGAGGCCGTAGGGTGAGTGCCAACCAGATGGAGGAGCCGGGGCCAGATCTAGGGACCGTACTCTCCACCTGGCAAAGCCTCCTTTCCCGCCATGAGAGTTCCCAGAGAGGGAGGGCCAGGGATGTGGGCTGGACCCACAAAGGGCTGGGGACCACAGGGACTGGATTTATGCCCTACCCTGACCCCAGCAGAGAAACCAGCCTTGTTGGGCATGGCTGAGTCACCAGCGACCAGCCTGGGGGTGGGACAACCAGGATGAAAGACCCAGAGAAAGGATTAGCTGCAGCCCAAAGGGCCACACAGGGCACCATGGCAACCAGGAGGCTGGGCCCTGAGAGAATGGGGCCTGTGTTAACACCGGGGCCTCCCCAACGGGCCTGGGGGCTTGTTAACCAGCTTACCAGGCAGCCTGGCCCAGTCATTGACATGGAAATCCAGACCCCTGAAGGGGCCTGTCGGACCCTGAAAAAAGGCAGGACAGTGAGGAGGGGGCGCCTGCTGGATGGGTGGGACAGGCAGGGGGCAGGTGGTGGGGCAAGAAGGGGCTCCTGTCTTCCTCCCCAAAGTTCCTCAGAACCATTGAAGGCCAGGTTCAGGCTGGGCCCCCAGAACTAAGCCTGAAGGGCCCAGCCAGATGCTGTGTCCTTGGGCCCTTAGGTCTGTGGTCCTATCAGGAAAACCTAGACCTGAGAGGGGCTGGGTAACACTCACAACGTGCATACCCACTAAACAGAAATCTGGAGGCCCTGAATGAGGGCAGTCGGTGGGCCCTGGGGTGAGGGGCAGACTTGCAGGGGACATGCTCTGGCTAGGGCCATATTCTCCTAGTGCGTGGGCTGGCTCTAGTCAGGTCTGGGAACCACCATGTGGGATGAAGGGGCAGCCTGGACTGAGCAGGAGGGCAGGCATGGGTAACACCCTAAGGCCGTGCTGACCCTAGTCTCATTCCCAGCAGGCTCCATAGGAGTGACCTATGTCCACACCAGGATACTGTCCTAAGCTGGCCACAGCCACTCAGGCACTGTGCCTGCCTGTCTGGCTGGCCCATGTCCTGGCTCTTTGCATGGAGCTCTGAGGCTCAGTCCCACCTTCTCCAGTCCCAGCCTCCATTCCTACATCCCAGGGCCCTGCCCACCTGGCCTGGCCACCCCAGATTGTGACCCTGAGATCCTCTGCCCCAGCAGAGACCCCATCTCAAGCCCTCCACCATCCCTGCTCTGCAGCTCAGCACCATGTGGGGGCTGCTGGCTCCTCCAAATGCCATGACATCTCTAGCTCCAAGCATGTCCAGAAAATTTTCTTGTGAGACAGTACCCAGGCATTCCCAGGGTGTGGACTCATAGCAGGACCATGAGCAGGGGGAGTGACAGGTCTTTGAGACCTATCTGTGAAGTCAGACTATGCTGGGAGTGGGGTGACAGCACACACACTCAAAATAAGAGGCCAAGACTCTGGCCACCAAATGGGGAAAGCCCCTACAAGCTGAGATGTGCTGGAATGCTGGGCAGGCGGGGACAGGGAGGAACAGGGCAGGTGTCTAAGCCCCTGTTGACACAGGATTACTGCCATCTGGCAGCCCCCGCCCCACACATCCCCCTCCCTCCAGGGTCTGGGAAGGAACTAGAGAGCTGAGACAGGACACCCTGGGCAGGACCTCAGTCTTCCCATCTGGAGAGTGGGGTGCACTTGAGGGGTGCAGAGCTCCAGCGTGGGGCCTGGGCAGAGATAGACTCTGAAAGGGGCCTTCCAGGGGACTTGGCCCTGCCCCACCCCCCGCCCTGGGATCCAGAAGCTTCCAGAGCTTGGTCAGTGGGAGGTGTGATTACAGGCCTCACTGGCAGCCAGGGCCTCATGGGGGAAATAGAGGCTCAAGGTAGAGGTGGAGCCCAGGCAACTTCCTCCTGCCCCCATTTCCCCACACCCCATCCTGGCTTCAACCTCCTCCACTCTGGGAGCCTGTGCCTGTCACATGCACACGCACACACAGGTACACACATGCACACACGCACACACACAACATGCACAGCTCTGGAGGCTAGGAGGGGCTGCTGGGCTTCCAGGGTGGGCTGGCAGTCCTCTGACCACCTCCAGCTTCTCCCAGGGTGAGGTCACCTGCTGAGTCCCAGCTCAGGGGGCCACACTTGTCGCCTCTTCCACTAACAGCCTACAGTCCTTGGGATGAGTGCCCCAGCATGTCACAAATGGACCTAAGGCCTAGCCCTGGTAGGGGAAGCCCAGAGGAGGAGGTAAGGGGGCTGGAGGGCCTCAGAGTTCCCACCCCGACAAGTATTGGGTTTCCTCAGGGCAAGGCCCCAGCTGCACACAGCTGGCAAAAGTTGGGGCCCGGGAACTTGAGAAGATTGTATCCCCATGGCTTGCCAGGAGGGGCATGGGCGTCTATCAGAGCCTGGGCTGGGTTGGCTGGCCCCCTCTGTCCCCAGCTCCCCCAGCTTACCATCTGCCTCTGTCTCTCTGGGAAGAGGAGGGGCTGGCCCGTGTTCCACTGCATACCACCCCTCCCTCTGTCTGGCCTTCCCAAACTGCCTGTCTTCCTTGTACCTGCTCCCAGGGATCACATAGGCATCAGCCCCTCCCCTGGCAGTGTCTAAGGACTGACCCTG